TATATGGTCCTTCCTCAATAAATTCCACCTCTGGTTTTAAATACTATGTCCATTTCATAGATGACTATAGCAGATTTACTTGGATCTTTCCCTTAAAACATAAATCTGAAACCATACATGCTTTCTCTCAATTCAAAAACTTGGTGGAAAATCAACTGAACAAAAAGATAAAGACCATCCAATGTGATGGTAGTGGTGAATTCAAATCAATTCAGAAACAAGCATTAGAAGCAGGCATACAATTTAGAATATCTTGTCCATACACATCCCAACAAAATGGTAGAGCTGAAAGAAAACATAGACATATTGCTGAGCTAGGCTTAACTCTACTTGCTCAGGCCAAAATGCCAATGTCCTTCTGGTGGGATGCTTTCTCAACTGCAGTCTACTTGATCAACAGGCTGCCTTCAACAACAAATTTCGATGAAAGTCCCTACACCCTAATCACCAAAAAGGAACCTGACTATAAAGCCTTAAAACCTTTTGGATGTGCCTGTTATCCCTGTCTCAGACCATACAATCAACATAAAATGCAATTCCACACTACAAGATGTGTCTTTCTAGGCTACAACAACTCTCACAAAGGCTATAAATGTCTCAACTCCCATGGAAGAGTTTTTATCTCAAGACATGTTGTGTTCAATGAGAATCACTTCCCTTTTCATGATGGCTTCCTCAATACAAAAAAAGCCATTGGAAGAGATAAACAATACTGACCATTTACACAGTTTATTTCCTCTATGTCGTGCACGTAATGATAATCTGAGTCCAACAAAAAACATAAGCAACTGCAAATCAGGAAATTCCCACACCAGCTGCAAGTCAAGACAACAACTCACCAAGTACAAGTACTGATACTCAACAACAAATCACTATTCAAGATGAAGGTGACTCAATAAATGTGGAGGAAAACAACATTGAAACAACCATGGCATCAAATGAAGACACTGTTGAAACAAGTAACAACATCAGTGATCAACATGAAGTGGTGGCAACTCACAAAATGCGCACTAGAAGCAAAGCAGGGATTCATAAACCAAAGTTACCCTACATTGGCCTCACTGAATCAGAAATACAAAAAATTGAACCAAGAAATGTGAAGGAAGCACTCACTAGTCCACTTTGGAAGGAAGCAATGACTAATGAGTACAATGCTCTCATGTCCAATCACACATGGAATCTAGTACCATACACAGGTCAAGAAAATATCATTGACTCAAAATGGATCTTCAAAACCAAATACAAAGCAGATGGATCCATTGAAAGGAGAAAGGCGAGATTAGTTGCTAAGGGTTTTCAACAAACACCTGGATTAAACTATGATGAAACATTCAGTTCTGAGGCAAAGGCTAGCACAATCAGAATTATCCTATCAGTAGCAGTTCATCTCAACTGGGACATCAGACAATTGGACATAAACAATGCATTTCTAAATGGCTATCTAAAAGAACATGTCTTTATGCATCAACCAGAGGGATTCCTCAACTCCATGCATCCAAATTACATCTACAAACTTTCAAAAGCAATCTATGGTCTGAAACAGGCACCAAGAGCATGGTATGACAGCCTCAAATATGCACTGCCACCAAAAGTGACACTTCACTATTCTTTCTCAAAGGTACTGATCATACTACCTTTCGCCTCATTTATGTTGATGATATCATCATCACAGGTAGCAATAACAAATTTCTGGAAGCTTTCATCAAACAGTTAAACACCGTGTTCTCATTAAAGGATCTTGGAAAATTACACTATTTTTTGGGAATTGAAGTACAAAGAAACAGTAGTGGCTTGTACTTAAAGTAATCCAAATACATTAGAAACTTGCTCAAAAGATTTAACTTTGAAAAAGTCGCTGCTTGTCCGACACCAATGGTAAGTGGTAGACAATTTACCATTGAGGGGGAACCAATGAAAGATGCAACTCTATTCAGACAAGCCATGGGAGCACTGCAGTACCTAACCAACACAAGATCTAATATAGCTTTTTCTGTTAACAAGTTAAGTCAGTACATGAGCTATCCTACAAAGGACCATTGGCAAGGCATAAAAAGAATATTCAGATATCTTCAAGGTACCATTGATCATTGCCTACATATTAAAACATCAACTGATCTAGACATCACAGGATTCTCAGATGCAGATTGGGCAACAAGCATAAACGATAGAAAATCAATTGCAGAGCACTGTGTTTTCCTTGGTGAAACTCTAGTATCGTGGTCTTCAAGGAAGCAAAAGGTAGTGTCAAGATCATCAACTGAGTCAGAATATAGAGCATTGGCAGATTTGACATCTGAAATCACGTGGACATGCTCACTAATGCAGGAGTTAAAATTGCCCCAATTAAGAAAGCCTACTTTGTGGTGTGACAATTTGAGTGCCAAATCTCTTGCTTCAAATCCAGTGATGCATGCTAGAACCAAACACATTGAAATTAATGTGCATTATATCAGAGACAAAGTACTGCAAAATGAAGTCACAATTGCCTATGTACCAACAGCATATCAAGTTGCAGACTGCCTCACTAAAGCCCTCACTCACTCAAGGTTCAATCTATTAAGAGACAAACTTGGAGTAATTGCATCACCCACAAGTTTGAGGGGGGGGAGTTAGACAAGTCACTTAATGTAGACTTAATAGTATTAACCATACAAATCGTATGTAATTAGAATATTTGATTTGATGTTTATTTGTTACCTTATTAGTAGCTTGTGGATTAAGTTCCCTTTATTCTAGGATCACAAATGATCCTCTATCTTGTGTATAAGTACATCACCGTGTAATGAGAATATACAACATTCAAACCATTCAATTCATATTTTCTCACTAGCAAGAGATTACTTAAAGAAAGAATTTGAAATGAAAGATTTAGAAAAAACAAAGTTTTGTCTTGGTTTACGAATTGAGTATACTAAAAATTGTATATTGGTACATCAATCAATTTATACATAAAGGGTATTGAAAAGGTTTAACATGGACAAAGCAAACTCTTTAAGTACTCCAATGATGGGTATAACACTTAATATTAAAAATGACTCATTTAGACCTAAGGAAGGTAATGAAGAAGATCTTGAATATGAAGTATCATACCTCAGTGTCATTAGGGCACTCATGTACCTTGCTAACTATACAAGACCTGATATAGCTTTTGCAGTAAATTTATTAGCAAGATTCAGTTCATGTCCTACAAAAAGACATTGGCAAGGAATAAAGCATATATTTTGATATCATCGAGGTACATCAGACCTTGGTTTATTTTATTCTAACAATACAAAATCAGTTTTACTTGGTTATGCAGATGCAGAATATTTTTCAGATCCATATAATGCTAAATCATAGACTGGGTATATATTTACATATGGTAACACTGCAATATCATGGAGATCACAAAAGCAAACACTTGTAGCTACTTTTTCAAATCATGCTGAAGTAATTGCTCTTCATGAAGCAAGTAAAGAATGTAGATGGTTACGATCGGTAACTAGACATATCCAAGGAGCATCTGATTTACCCATCGATAATAATCCAACAATTTTGTATGAAGACAATGTTGCATGTGTTACCCAGATGAAAGAAGGTTACATCAAAAGTGACAGAACCAAGCATATCCCTCCAAAATTCTTCTCATTCCCATAAGAACTTGAAAGAAATAAAGAGATTAATATTCGATATACTCGTTCATGTGATAATATAAAAAATCTCTTCACAAAGGCACTTCCTACATCAATTTTCAAGAATCATGTACAAAATATTAGAATGCGTCAAGTTCGATATCTTTAAAGAAGAACTATATATGCTCTATTGAGGGGAAGCATCTTGTTGTACTCTTTTTTCCTTATTAAGGTTTTTATCCCAATGAGTTTTTCCTAATAAGATTTTTAACAAACAATATATGTTCTCATAAGTTTCTTCTTCATAAGACTTCGATGGAGCACCGTAATAGATATTTTAAAGGAGGTGTGATATAATATTATTATTTAAAAATATCTATTTAAATAGTAATATATGGCAAACTATTGTAGATATATAATTTGTCAAAGTTAAAATAGTAAGTCCAATTATTACATTGGTGTAATAGTTATATTTCTAGTAGTACAAATACTACATTTGTCCAATATAAAAATACACCAAAATTTACTTTGAAAGTATGAGTAAAACATTCTTCTTTCTTCAATCTTTCCATCTAAATTTAATAGTTACAATTAATTTAATAACTTATATTAGTTCATAAATATTAACAAATATTCAAAATCGATTTTTCTAAACACTTAAAAGTTAAATCAATTATAAAGCGTAAAATGATGATGATGAAAAAGGAAAAATAAACAAAAGTATGTTGATGGCACTCGATGAACTATCATATGGAAGTCTATGTATATCTTTACAATGTCCTTTAAGATGACTTGAGATGTCCCTAAAGCGTCCATATCTAGTTAGAAGTAGTGCTCATATTATATATCAATGAACAGATCACTTAGTGGACTGATATCTACTCGGTGCGTTACAACCAAACGTGGCTGCTAGATATTTAAGCATCACTTGGTTGTAAAAAGATTATTCTTAGGCCTAACAACGATCCACTTTTTTCATGTATGACAAATTGATAATTTTTTGAAGGTTTTTTTCGTTATTGTTTCATTGTTTCAAGACTGTATATTCTGAACCTTGAGTTGAGCTGAAAGTGCATGGATCTTCCAAGAATATTATTTCAATAAAACAAAGTTAGGCATTTTCCCACTGCAATAATAAACTGGTTCAAATATATAATGACCCTGGCCCTTGTGGCCCAATTATAGGGTCTAGATGTACACATCATTATTCCAATCTTCTTCCAACTCCAAGTGGAAGGGAAAAAAATAATTAATTGGTTACTACTTCAGCAAATGACATCAAGCTTCTACTATAAATATGACACTGCATCTTAGTTTCTAACATATAACATCCTAAATAATTTATTGCATTTCTCACTTTTTGTGCTTGATAACTTGTCATTTATCATTATGGAACTTAAACTTATGAGTCAAATTGGTTTTTTTTCTGTCATATTGCTCTTACCTGTGGTGTGTAACTCTCAAGACTCTTATATTTGCTCTAGAGCAACCTATTATGGTAGCCCAGATTGCTATGCAAATCCAAGTATGTGTGCCACCTTTTCTACCAATATATAAAATGCATGTGACATAACATATTTTTGCTTAAAGTAGATGATTTGAGTTTCAATTAACATGTTTTAGGGGGAGCTTGTGGCTATGGTGATTATGGACAGACAGTAAACGATGGCAATGTTGCAGGAGTGTCTTGGTTATGGAAAAATGGATCTGGTTGTGGTGCATGCTACCAAGTAATAACTCAAAATTATTTATATTATACTAGCATCATTCTTCATATAAAATTATTTGTACCTCAAAACATGTCTTTATGAGTATCTGTCAATAATGATGAATTAGGTGAGGTGCAAAATAGCAGGATTGTGTGATGAGAATGGAGCATATGTGGTGGTGACTGATTATGGTGTGGGAGATAGGACAGACTTCATCATGAGTCCACGTGGCTATTCAAGATTGGGCAAAAATGCTGATGCATCTGCAGAACTTTTTAAATATGGTGTGGTGGATATAGAATATAAAAGAGTCCCTTGCAAATATAATGGTTATAATGTGTTGGTAAAGGTCCATGAACGTAGCAAAAACCCTCACTACTTGGCCATTATCATTCTCTATGTTGGTGGAACAAATGATGTAACTGATGTTCAATTGTGGCAGGTACTCATTTGTTGTTTTGAGATTGTTATATTTAGTTACCTTGAAATCTACAAAGCCTTCACACATATAGACACCCTTCATTCGAAAAAATAATGATAATAAATTAAACATAATTAGACACTAGACACATAGATCTTTTAGATATGTTGATGTCAGACACCGACAGATATCAAACATCAGACACATAGATCTTTTAGACGTGTTGATGTCAGACAACGACACTTGTCAAACACCAAACACACTGATCACTTAGACGTGTTGATGTCAGACACTGACACATATCAGACACCAGACACACTGATCATTTAGACGTGTTGATGTCAGACACTGACACATGTTAGACACCAGACACACTGATCATTTAGATGTGTTGATGTCAGACACTGACACATGTCAAACATCAGACACACTAAATTTTTTGATGTGTTAATGTCAAACACTGACACATGTCAAACACAAGACACACTTATTTTTTAGACATGTTGATGTTAGACACCAGACACATTTGTGTTTTATACATGTTGATGTCAATGACACATGTCAAACACACTTATGTTTTAGATGTGTTGGTGCTATAGAGTTTGAAATTGAATTGGTTTTCTTGAAATGGTTATTGAACAGGAAGATTGTCAAGAGTGGAGGCCAATGCGTAGAGTGTTTGGGGCAGTGTTTGATGCTGAGAATCCTCCAAGAGGTGAGATCAAGTTGAGGTTCCAAGTGAGTGGTAGTGCTGGTCTTTATTGGGTGCAGTCCGAGAATGCTATATCTAGTGATTGGCAAGCCGGTGCTGTTTATGACTCACAAATTCAGTTTGATTAAAAAAAAAAAGCACTTATAAATAGGGATCATATGACTAGTATTTTATTGGTTCTGGTTTGTGTTATTCTAAAAAATAATGTTCATGTCTACCAGTGGGTGGGTGAGTGGAGTGCTCTTTGTACTTGTACTAAAACTAGGGGATTTATGTGCTTTTCATATAACTTGTCGATTGATGAATAAATAAATAAATAAATAAATAAGGTGTTTTTTCTCTTTGCTTTGTTTGGCTTCTGATGTCATAAGAAATCCAATGAATCTGCTAATATTCTTGAGATGATTTGAATGATATCACTTATCCGATCACTCTAATAGAATAATTCGAAAATAGTCCTCGCCTTTGACTCAAATCTACGCTTTGAAAATTATGTAATTGTAAATTATTATAGTATACTTTTACATTCATATAGAGTTGCTTAATAAAAAGTAAAAAATAACCAACCAAAGTTGGGTCTAATAGAAGAGATTAGACTCTCATAATGTAACAATATATATTGAATCCCAACTGGGGGAGGAGATGCCTACAACTACAAGTATTGAAGGAGCCTCGCATATGATTACCTCCCCCGGAGGAAACCTATGAAAAAAAAGAAAAAAAAATGTTAAATAAAATTAATTATTTTAATTAAAAAAAATGTTAAATAAAATTAATTATTTTAATTAGATTTTCAGTGAAAATTAGCTTCATGCTTCCAAAAATAATCAATTACTAGCAAACAAACAGGAGGTGAAGCAAAAAAATAACAGCATAGCAGCATCGCTGAAGAAACTAATATTATAAACATGGCTCAAAATTAAGTTCCATTTTTTGGGATTTTAGTTTGAAAGATGTACAGAAAACAAACACTGTTCCAACAATTAACATGGTAGTCCTCAGTACAACCTACCAGTACAATCCACAGAACCACAATAGCAGAACTTCTTTTTGACATTGCCATTGGAATCTAAAACTCGATCTATCATGTAGTTGTAGTCGTAAGCCAGCTCTTGCAAGGGAGGAATGTTCTCGGCGGCAAATAACATGACGTGAGGAACCCTGTTGTCATGATGATCATAAAGTACATTCTGAGCATAAAGATTAGGGGAGCAACTATGGTTGATGAATCTCCCCACGTTACCAAACTGAGCTGCATCAATAGTGAAGCCACCATCCATCACTACTTCACAAGAATGTGACTGTGAATCGGGCAAAAGGGTTGAAAGTCCGTCCCAAAGAGTATTGTTGTTTTTATTTCCAATATCAAAAAGATACTCATCATTACCAGTTCTTTGTTCAGCTTCCTTGTCTTCAAGAAGCTCTCCTATATATTCACAGATAAAACTTCCTGAAGCGATGGAATTTAGGGATCTAACACCCCATCCCCGTGAATTGGTTTTAAAAATTTCAAGTTGGATATTGATGCCATGTTGGCTGACTCTGTTATAGCAGGTTGAAGGGCATTTGCATTTAGGCCCACACTCGTAGACTAGAGGCTTTGCTGCTACAATAGCCCCATTATAATTAAATGGAATCTCCCCTCCGTTTTTTCTAACACAAGAGCATTTCGCACGGTCCGAGCATCCATTAGTACAACCACAGCCTTCTGGAGGGACAGGTTTGCAATAATCAGGATATATCATCTTCTTTATGTATTTAAATGGTGGGGGTTTCTCGTCGTCTATGGTGTTCACAGCACATATGGGAATTCTCTCTTGCCCGCAGGAAATATCTTCAACACATCGACCTTCTCTTGTTTTGAACTTATTAGATTTTTTCACTTCCTTTAAGGCTAGCTCTGGTTGACCCGGGATTCTTCGCAAGCGAAACCTATAAACCAGCTTCCCATGGGTCCCCATATCCTGCCAAGATGACTCAACTAAATACAGCCCATCATAAACATATATCTTGCTTTTTCCATCTGGTGATTCAGAGCCACGTATCACCCTAACAGGATTCTTTTCCTCACTACTGTTCTTCAATGCAAGATTGCCCCTTTCAAGCTTCTGATCTTCTGGCTCTTTACTATTGCTCATCACATTTCCACCCTGCCCTGTATATATCAAAACATCCGTATTATCTAAATCATCAGCATAGCCCCCCGACGCAACAATACTAGTTGCAAGGACCTTATTATTGTGCTTCGTATAATCTATACCACCCTGAATCTGACGATGAAGGCCAATTATATTAAGCTCTACTCTGTATTGAAATTCATCACCAACTTCAACCCCGGGGACAGGTCCCAATATATGCTTCCCTGAGTTAACAAAGTTCCCATTCTCCTTAAGCATCTTCGCAGCTTGTAAATCAACCCTCTTTCTTTCTTTATCATTTGACTTTGCTTTTGCTTCCGCATCATGCAAAAGCTTTCTAGAAACAACTTGGAACAAGCGCAATACTCTCCTCACTTCTTTCCGAGTCGCTGAGTCATTCTCATGACCACTGAAATCACTACAGCCAAGAGGAGGAACACTCGGATCATGTGATTTTGGAACACTTTTAAAGTCTTTTTTATTTTCATTAGGGTCTAGAGAATTCTTCTCCCGTCTTACTAATTGACCAATGTCATCAGAAGTGGAATTTAATTTTTTCTTTTTCAATGGCTCATGCCCAGAATGACTCCGTATATCTTTCGTCTTGACAGCAGTTTTAGACCTGTCTAGCTGGGCATAAAAATCAACTTTCTTAACCTTCTTTTCTTCTGTACCACCTATTGATGTTGGTTTAAATTTGGATGAACTAACTTCAGATCTCCAAGGACATTCTGATTTACACATCAAACCTAGCACTACTTCTTGTTCCGACATAGCCAAAGGTTTTGGCTCAGGATTCTGGACTTCTGGGCAGTAAATATCTAGCCCTGATGTTCCCTCAACCTGTACAGTGTTCATGATTTCCTCTTTAGCCACTGCCTTGGAATTTATGTTAACCTGATGGTGATTACGTTTTTCGGGAAGTTTAGTGCTCTTTTCTCTTGTATTATCCAGTGCCAGTCTCCTCTCAGAAGATGGTTCAAATACATCCAGCTTCTTGACTCTCTGTGTAGCATTATTCTCTTCTTCAGAGCCAGCTTGAACCATGTTAACGGGCTTTCTCTTGTTATTTTCCACTTCTTTTGCATCAGAGTCTGCAACTTTTTTCAACAGACTGGCATCTACAGCCAAGTTTTGTTGACCCGCTCTCTTTTCATTAAGAGAAGAGAGCTCCTTTAAACACTCATCCTTAGTAAGACGGGGAGCATTGCGCCCACATAAACGTGGAAAGTCTCTGACCGCTGCAAAATTTCTACGAGGAGGATACCTTCTAGTTACAGCATCCTCCATACAAGCCCCAGAACCAACTATATTGATATTGGATGACGAGGATTTTGAGTCATCAGACATAGCTGACTCACCAACTGGAGATGATGCCTTTGACATATATAAGGACTCTTGTTTTACGGAGTCCTGTATTGCAAATTCCATATCCAAAGTTTCTGTGCCCACAAATGTCAGTTTAGCTGGTTCATCATTAGCCAGAGTAGACCCGTCCACTTTATGGGAAGAAACTGTTGGATTTTCCTTTTTCAAACTACTGATGTTAGCTGCAGATTCCCCGCCCGAAGTTTCCATTCCCACCAATGCCACATTTGCATGTTTGTCATTATCCAAAATAGGTTCATCCACTAGATGAGATGAAACCACAGGAACATCCTTCTCCAAACTAGAGCTTTCTGTACCCAAAATTTCCATGCCCGCCAACGCCGCTTGATCAGACAAAATCACAGGATCTTCCTTCTTCAAACTACATTCACTTGTTAATTCAATAGCCTCTGTAACAACCAAATTATTTTCATGATCAGACAAAATCACAGGACTTTCCTTCTTCAAACTACATTTACTTGTTAATTCAATAGTCTCTGTAACAACCAAATTATTTTCATGATCAGAATGTTCCGGAGTAACAACATCACACTCCAAATCTTCGCTACTTCTATCCTCAACAGATGTACCATCAGCAGAACCAAACGGTCCACATCCTTCTGGATAATCACGAACAGCACAAATCATACGGCGCTTAAACTTGGGCCGAGCAAGGACAGTAGAGCCTCCAAGTTCCATCTTCGGCTTCCCAAATTCTTCTTCACATTGTTCATTACAGACTGGCATTGACGTTGTCATTCCGTCCAAAAGCTCCAAATTCACCTCCTAATTCAAACCCTCATTCCTAACATAAAAAAATGTAACCAATTAACAATCCCATCTAACACTCTTCTTTTTACAGTACAAACAAAACATGAAATAATCCAAGAAATGAACAGTTGAAACACTATAGGTAGCAGAAACGAGAAACTCATTAATGAACAATACACATTGTAATTAAACTATATCGTCAATCGCGCCGGTTCAGTTCAGCACGCAACAGCGGAACATACGTAAAGACTAAAAGTTCGCAGCGCGTCGGCTTTCACAGCGGCGCCTACTGCAGCCTCAAATCGCGAAGCAATCGCATTCTCGCGCGCGCTAAACGAAACGGGAATGAAAATCCGGTGAAAATAGAACAGATGAAGAAAGTTACCTGGAAGAGTTTGTCGCTGATTGTGGCGGTCGACGACGGTTAACTGCGGTAGAGTTTTCCGGCGAGTTGAGTACGAGACGAAGTTGCGTTTGTGAGGGAAATGAAATGACGAGAGCTTTGTTTCGTTTTAGGGTTTTAATTGTAGAAATGAAATGCGTTCATTCGTGTTAATCTATCTCTGATTTTTTTTCCTATATCAGGAACGAGCCTTATGGACAAAAAATGTATTTGAAATATAGTAATGTTTTATTATTTATTCAAACTATATTACATGAATTTAAATTGAACTTTTATTCATCATATGATCATAATAGTTGAATAATATCTGCAACCATTTGACTTTCACCGTATCTTGAAGAAACTCATAAGAAATGTGTTTTTATATGTCATTGACATTGTAAAATATCTTTCGAAAGAAATTATTACACTTTTTTTTTGTAATATATTGGTAATTAATTATAAAATT